AAGCATTCCTCAAAAAGCTAGAAATTAAGCTTCCATATGACCCAGTATTACTATGTCTGGGAATACAACGCAGGGTCCCCAAAACATACATCAGAAATGCTCTCTGCACTTATATGTTCCTTGCAGCACTCTTCAAATTAGCCAGAATCTGGAAACAAGTTGATTGCCCTGAGAAGAGATGACTTGTCAAAGAATCTCTGGTACATCTTCACAATGGAATGATATGCAGCTGTCAGGAAAAATAAAGCTATGAAATTTTTTATAAATGGTCATGGAGAATATCATGCTGAGTTAAATGAGTCAGAAGAAGAGGGATAGATATACAATTATTGGACTCATGTGGGATATAAAAAAAAACATAATATGAGACTAATACACAGGGTATCTCATTTCATGACATGGGCATTTTAGATAAAGGCCCAGGATGATTTGTCAACAGTTGCAAGTGTCCCTCAAGTGGTAGGGGAGAAGGCAGTTGGGATAGAGAAGGGACCACTATGACAATGGTAGTTGAACATCATCAATCTTAATAAGGTATTGCATGCTAAAAATAGGTAAAGAAAAATTAAATTAAAAAAAATTTTAAAAAACCCTTAATGCCCCAAAGTAGGCAGAGAGAGATAAAGAGAGTGAAAGAGAAAGAGGGAATAAAGAATTGGGCCTGCCATAGAGACAGGTTTGAGAAGCATGTCGAGGGTGGGTGAAACTAGGGACATTCGTGGTTGGAATGTGGAGGAGGGTTGGGTGGAGGGATGGGTGTTGGAACACTTTATGGCTGAAACATAACTATGAACAGTTTTAAAACTCTGTATCTCATGGTGATTCACCTCTTTAAAAAGTATAAAAATAAAATTTCGAACAAAATTACTGGTAAACTTATCTGGGTTCAGACTTTTGCTTTGGGACTTTTGGTTACCATTTAAATCTCATATATATATATATATATATATATATATATAGTTCCATATCTCTTTCTTTAGCATTGGAATGTTTAAAAATGCCCAAAGATTTGTCCATTTGTTATAGATTATCTCATTTCATGGCATGGAGGTTTTAGAAAGTATTCTCTGATGATCCTTTGAATTCTGTGATATGTTTTGTAATGTTCCATCTTTCCTATCTGATTTGACATAATAGGATTATCTCACTTTTACTTTTTGAGTCTTGCTAATGATTTATCTATCTTGGTTACTTTTTCAAAGAACTATCTCTTTATTTCATTAATCATTTGGATTATTTTGGATTCCATTACATTGATTTCTGCTCTTAGTTTAATTGTCTCCTTCCTTCTGCCTCCTTCGGGCTCTTTTTGTCGGTTATTTTCCTACTTCTTAAAGTATGACACATTTGTCACTTGTCATCCCGTTGCTCATTGATTTGCTTGAGAGGGCACCAGTAATGTCTCCATTCATCCCTTTCATGTGCTAGTGTAGCCCAATGGCGTCTGTTCATTCCAGGAACATGAAGAGCATGGAAACCATTAGTTCAGGGTCTTGACGAAGAAGTTTGACCATCTCGTAGGTGGGTGGCCAGGCATTCTTTTCATGCCCCATGAAATCCAGTCAGTAACATTTCTAGTCCAGAGGTCATCACCAGATAGCATTACGTGTCCAGCCCACATGATTTTCGACACCTTGGAAAAGGAGGCAGTGTTCCTGATCCTCGATCATCGACAAAGGTCAGAACTCCGGATTCCTTCTCTCACTTAACTGAAGCATTATACTCCAAGCATAGCTCTTTCGATTCCTCTTTGGTAGACCTGAATAGCATTCTCATCCTGTTTTTGTAGGGCCCAGGTCTCTGAGGTGTATGTTAGTGCAGGAAGAATGGCGGAGTCTAAAAGTTGTGCCCAGAGCTGGAGGTTTTTCATCCTCTTAACAACTTCTTCAATGCTCTTGAAGGCATTCCACACCACTCTCTTCCTCCTGCTCATTTCTAGCGCCAAGTTGTTCGTCATGTTGGGTTCTCTACCCAGGTGCACATAACTGCTGAATTCAGAGGTGTTCATTCTGTTGAGAGGAAATCGAACATCAGGAACTAGTTCATTTCTCATGGACATTGTCTTCATGAGATTCAGCTGCAGTCTGACCTTTCCACACTCATGGTCGAAGTCGGTCAGCATTCATGCAGCTTGGGTGTTGTTTGCTGTTATTAGAACAATGTCATTAGCAAAGCGGAGGTGGTGAAGTTACCAATTATCTGTCTTCATGCCCATTCATTCCCATTCCAGTCCTCGCATGATGGCACTGAAGAGTTTCAGTGAAATTGTCGATGATCACTTCCTTGTAGAATGGCGAGATCCTGGTGGTGAATCCATAATACAGCTCGCAGTGGATCCTGATGTACTGAGTTTGAATGCCCTATTTGGCTAGGGCTTCGATGACCACTTCAGTCTCAACAGAATCAAAGGTCTTCTTTAAATCAATGAACGTTAGACAGAGTGGCATCTTGAACTCTCACGAAACTTCAATGAGCTTGGTCACCATGTCGATATGGTCAATCGTGCTGAAACTTTTTGGATATTTATGAGGGCTCTTCTTTCCTTCCCGATTAATTCTTTGCAGTACTATAAATGTATCTCTTAACACAACTTTTGCTGTTTTCCACAAGTTTTGTAGCTAGTGTCCTCACTATTGTTCTTTTCCAGGATTTTTTTTTTACTTTCTCTTTGATTTTCTTTCTGCCGCATTGGTAGTTCAGTAATAACCAGGTTAATTTCCATGTATTCGCATTATTTCTCCATTTCTCTTTGTGTTTCACTAGTATTTCAGTGCATCATAGTTTAGGAAGACGATGCAATTTATATCCTCTGCATTAAGGGGTAATTTTTGTGGCCCAACCTGTTGTCTATCCTGGCGTATGTCCCGTGTGCACTGAAGAATAATGTACATTCATCTTTGGGGGAAATAAACACCCCCCTATATTCTATTACTAACCTCTTATATTCAATTTATATTTCAAAGCCAGTATTCTCTTGCTGAAGTTTAGTCTGACTGATCTATCCAGAGGAGACAGAGTGGTGTTGGAATCTCCAACTACTCTTGTGCTGTTATATCCTCCTTGAAATTTATTAGCAGTTGTTTTAAGTAGTTTTCTGGTCCCTCACTAGGTACTGAGCGATAGCACAGCGGGTAGGGCGTTCGCCTTACAAGCGGCCAACATGGCTGACCCGAGTTCGATTCCTCCGCCCCTCTCGGAGAGCCTGGCAAGCTACCGAGAGTATTTGATATGCCAGACACAGTAACAACAAAGTCTCCAATGGAGACGTTACTGGGCCCGCTCGAGCAAATCGACGATCAACGGGAGGGCCTTTACCTTTACCTTTACCAGTAGGTACATATATGTTTAGTAGTGTAATTTTCTTCCTGATGTACACAATTCTTATTCACTAAAAATAGCCTATTTTTAGGACCTTTGTATGCTGAAATATATATGATTTGACATTGATATGGCCACCTCAGCATTTTGAGGAATCTTTTAGCTTGAAGAATTGTTTTACAACCTTTAAAACAGTGTTTGTTATGACTATTTGAATATGCTTTTATCAGGGAACTGAATGTTGGATTCATTTTTTATCAGTTTTGTCACTCTGTGTCTCTTAATTTGTGATTTTAGACAGTATGCATGAGATATTATTGACTTGGAGTTTTGGGCATCTTTATGTAGAAGTTTGGTGCGTTTGTGAAGTTTGTTTTAGCTTAAAGTGAACCCTTCAGTTATTTTTGCAAAGATGGTTTCAAATTACTGAGCAGTTGTTTACACATTAAGTTGTGTATCTTAACTTCAATCGTAATGAGAGTCTGACTAGATAAGGTATTCTTGGTGAGGTTTTTATTTTAACGAGTTTTTTTTTCTATAACACCGCTTTAACTTTGTGCCTGGATGTTCTCATTTGATATATCTGCTGTAAATCTCAAGAACATTCCTTTGCATATAATTCCCTACATTGACCTTCCTGATTTCAGTATTCTATTTAGTTTTCATCATTGTGATTAGGATGTGTTTCGAAGTATTTTATTTTGGGTCTCTTTTAGCTGGTACCTTTTGGGTCCTGTGGATCTGGGAGCATGCACTCTTTAGCACTGGAAATTTCCATCTCATCTTGGAGTTCACTGATTTTTGGCCTCAGTTACTCTTACTCTGCTGCTGAGGCTTGTCAGTGATTTTTTTCAATTCAACTACTAAATTCTTTAATTCTCTCACAGCTAGTAGTTTTCTAATTTCTGTTATTATGTTCTATTTTGTTATGCTTGCCGTACATCTCATTATTCCTTTGAGCTTCTTAAATATCAGCATTTCTTCACTAAAGTCTTTATCAGAGAGGTTCTATAGTGGTTATTACTGATTGTGTTTAGGGTTAAAGACATAAGTATCTTCATTCACTAAGCATGATGACATTCTGCATTTCTTTCTCATTTGAAGTCTGGAGGTTTTGTGTGTTATTGTATAACTATGGTTAGAATGTCAATGCATGCTCACTCAGAGATATAAAGAAATGAATAAATGATCATCCATATTATTCAGCCCTGTGATTCACAGGATCCTGACCTGGGGGAAAGATCATAAATTCTATATGCAGCTTCCCAACTACTTCCTAGACATTTTGAGTTCATGAGACTGGAAGCAGTAATTTTGTAGACCTAGGTGGGATCTTACTGGGTATCCTGGCTTCTTCGGGGGCCTCATGGGGCTGAGCTAGGGTGTAGGGAATTACAAGTTGGAGAGACAAGTTTTGAAGAGATACGGAATTGTTAAAGAGCATATTGGATTTAGAGATATGCATACAGCTAGGACGTAAGATAGATGGCACATTTTACCTGTGTTCCAAGATGGTTGTGAAAATGAAACCACATAATATTGAAAAGTGTTAATAAACGTAAAATATATGAGGAAGCGCTGAAGGCAGAGTTAGCTTAGATCTCACACTTGCTTTCTATAGAGCACTGTAACCCGGAAGAAGTCCGATTTTTTCCCCTCTTTCCTTATGCTTTCTCTTTCAGGACATGTATAGTGGCCTTATTGGGCCTTTAATAATCTGCAAAAAGGACATCCTGGACCTCAATGGAGAAAGGAGTGATGTAGACCGAGAATTTAGCTTGCTATTCTTGATCTTTGATGAGAATAAATCTTGGTATCTAGAAGAAAATGTGTCAACTTATGGATCCCAGGAACCAAGCCTTGTCAATCTACAAGACGACACTTTCTTGGAGAGTAATAAAATGCATGGTCTGTAGAAAATAAGCCAAATTTCTTCCAAAGCCCCAACTGTTGCATGGGAATTTAAAAAGCCTATTATGGGTAAAGAGATTGAATTACGATGCAAGGTTATATTTCTATGTATCATTAAAAGGTTAGGAAGGTTGCATGGACGAGTTACAAAAACAGTTTATTTTAATTTATTTACATATACAAGACATATCTGTGATTCTCTTAAGATCTGATACCGAAAAGCAGAAAACTCATATCATAAGCACATTTTTAAATGTTACAGAAGACAAGAACAGCATTTGTTGACCCTCAATGTATTTGTTGATCACTGTATTTTTGAGCACCCTTGCTTCAAAATTCTCAGTTTAACCTTGTTATTAGAATTTAGGTCCAATATATTTATTAGACTCCAAGTATTTATTATGCCCAATATATCTCTTGATAATGAGGGTCCCCCTGCTTAAAAGTGCTCAGCTTAATTTCTAATATTCTGTTTCTTCACCAGTGTATATCTATGTAGATTGAATTTCAACATGGATAAAAATAAATTTATTTTCTAGTCAAAAGTTCATTCTAAGGATAAAAAAATCAAAGGACTTAGCTTCAGAGAGTAGAATTATAGGTTTATATTATATATATGAAATAACTTCTGATGCTTCAATTCATTTGACCGGGAATTTTACATACAAAACTTCCCTTTTTCAAAGAAATGACTGCCATAAGAGAAAATTTCAAATAGAGAGAAATTCAAATGTATGAAACAATTTCTAACTATCACTGTTAGCCCATAATTTGTTTTATATTGAGACGTTAAATCTTTTATAGTGACTCTAATGGAACACAAAAGTAGTATCTCATTGTCGCTGATATGAATTATTCATACTAGAATAGATCTTAACAGATTTTACAAAGACAAATTTTGAGTTCATGTCAAATGACAAAAATAAAAGGTAAAAGACCAAAAAATACAATGATAAAGTAATTGTATCTTCCTAGTTCAGGTTTTAGCTGTTGTCAATCTTTGTCTCTTTGCTTTTGTAGATATTCACTCAAACTCTTTAGCTATTAATCTATGTACCACTTTGTAAATTAGTACTTGTTTAGCAATTTAGGATGCTGGATTTGGATATAAAAATATAATGTTAAGGATTTAGGGCAGATAAATTATTCCTTTCCTACCCTTCTGGCTTACTAAACTAATAGTATTTATGATTTGAATGTGAGCTTTATTACTGGGAATACTAAATTTGGAAAAATCAACTTAGTTATGCAACTAAATGGAAATCTAGATAATTTCCCTGAAATATCTATCATATTCTGACATAGAGATGTTCAGCAATAACTCTTCATTTGTTCAGAGGCAACATATCCCAACCATGTTATAATAAGGCTGTTTGTATCCCTTACATCTTCAGAATAAAACAAGAAGGATTAATAAGTGTATAAGAATGTATGTTTCATTCATTCTCTCAAATTTGAAATTTAATAGGATAGGAACAGAGACAGGTTATAAATATCACTTATGTAACTTTTCCTCTGGTATAAACTAACAATAAACTTACCTATATGAAAATATGTGAAATGGGGAAATGTACCCCCAGCACCGTCTTGCCACTGTAAATTAATTTTAGAGCAAAAGCTCTAAATTATCTTTACCTCAAAGATAAATTATCTTTACCTCTAAATTATCTACCTCAAAGATACAGATGTGAGCAGCCATACATTAAACTTATTATTTATCTCATGAATGTGAAAATGTATTTAACATGTTTTAAAACATTTATTGTACATAATAATCTATGTCCTTCCTATTGTGAAAATACAGTCTAATTAGGCATACAAGCTATAAATTAAAAGAAAAGTTAAATTTTATAAGGCATGTTTGATTATTTAAAAGTTCCAAAGATGACATAAATATCATTGGAAAAATTTAGAAGCATAAACGGATGCAGAAGATGAAAGGTTCTAAACAGAGTTATGTGAGGAAATATTCATGGAGTAGAATGTTTGACTGAATTTTTGAAAGATAATAAAAGATATATATTTCTGGGAAGGAAGCTGAAAATATCAACAAGAACACAGAGACTGTATATAAGGCCAAAAATGGTATAATAAAAAAGACTTTAAATTGTATATGAAGTGGAAAATTAGACTGAAAATATACTTTGGGTAACATAGTAATTTGGGTTTAAGTTACTTTGGAGTTTCAAAATTGATATATTTAGAAGAAATTTGACTGAACTTGGAGCTATGGACCTTGATTTTTTTGTGTGTCAAAATTGCTTTATTTCACCCTGGAGTCACTAAGCTCTTGTATAAGAGATTACTATCATGTTGTTAAATTTTGAGCCTTGTGTGCTTCTGTATACACACATATGTGTGTGTGTATATATATATTTTTTCTCTCCCTAAGATGTGTTGCCTTCTACTTTACACCCCATCAAATGTGATGTGCTACTCTTGGTGCAGAGTATGAGATGCTGCATGGCTTTGAATGTGACCGTGTACTCTAGGTATAGAGGTCAATTTAACTTTTTTTTAACTGGATAGTTATTCTGGGATCCGGAGGCATCTCTATGGTGTATTGTTCTGCGTTGCACTCTTCCGAGAGTCTTATTTGGAAGTCTCTGGATCGTGGCCATTAAAGAGCTTATATGGTGCCAGAGGCAGTTCCTGGACATGACTGGAAAGCTATGAGAAATACAGGGACAAAGGCAAAGGTCGCCCATTCCCGACTCTGTGCGAGCCTGGAGATTTTAGTCACAAGTCGAATATACCTGAGTTTTTCAGATGAACCTTATATTTTGACCTCAACAAAACTAATTTAAAAATGTTAAGCAACAAAATTATATAGTCATATTAGACATTTAAAATGTCACTGGATACACCAATGTTAAAATAAACTGGAAGATAACAGAACAGAAATAAGAGAAGTTAGGAGGCTAATTTTTATCATCAGATGAAAGTAACTAACTCAAAAGTGGTGGTGAAGGGAAACCAAAATTATAAATCTAAATGATGCTTTCTTCTTTTGCAGCCATCAATGGAAAGATCTATGCCAATCTTAGGGGTCTTTCAATGTACCAAGGAGAACGAGTGGCCTGGTACATGTTGGCAATGGGCCAAGATATTGACATACACACTGTCCACTTCCATGCAGAGAGCTTCCTCTATCAGGTGAGCTAGAAGAAAGCTGTGTGCCCAAGAAGTGATTAGAGAAGGGATTTGATAGCCATAGAAGAATAAAGGAATAATAAGGAATGAATACAAATAAATCAAAAGGGAAGTAGTCATATAAGGGGAAACTTAGGCTGGGAATTCTGGTTTGCTTGAATATCACTGAAAAGGTCAAATTTCTAGGTCTTAACTGCGTCATATGATTTAGAAGATATAAATGCTCATTTGTAAAATTAGACCATCAAAAGGATAAATGTAATTTAGTCTCAAGAATTTGGGATACACTCTGAGCAGTGATCCTCAGAGAACAGAATTTCAGAACAGTATTGCAGAATTCCTTAAAATTTCCAATTCATCATAAGGTCTACAGTTCAGAAGTTATAGAGAACAGTGTGTAGGTTTAAAAGAAAATATAATTTTAGAAAAGGCTAGTGCCAGAGAGATGGGAATGCCAAGAAGTGCCTTGCACATGACTGATCTGGGTTCAATTCCAAGTATTACATATAATTTCCCAAGCACTTCCAGTTGTAATTCCTAAATGCAAAATCAGAAGTAACATCTGAGCATCACAAGTTATAGCCCCCAAACTAAAACTAATAAAAATTAAAATGGTGACAATTGTATGTATTAATATTTAAATATTTAGAAGAGTTGTGCTTGCCTCAAAAACACATACTAAAATTGTTAAACTAGAGATTATCATGAACCTATATAAGGGTAATATAAAAGCAAGTCAACTGCCATATATATACATTTATATTTTGTTTCGAAGACACACAGGACAAAACTCAAGAGTTATTCTTTATTCTGTACTCTGGCATGACTTGTGGCAGTGCTTGGAGAATAAAATGCTGTGCCTGATTTGGCCGTATGCAAGGAAAGTCTCTTAAATTATGTATAATATATCTCTCTGGAAATTTCTGTATTTGAAAATATTGAAATCCTGATAAAAGTGATGGCATGGAGGATAAACTAATCTGAATTCTTTTGTACAGGAAATAGGTGGACCCTTCTTTGCGGTAATGATTGATTCAGTTCATCCCAGATTTTAGTATGTGTATGTTTTAACATCCTAAATAAAGCTGGAGAGCCTTTTGGTTTAGTAAATTTTATTATGTACAAGTAGATTCATTGTTTATTCAATGTTATGGGTCAGTTGATAAAAGATAAGGATAAGATCTCTTGTCTATGAATCTGGAATTCTATGGCCATTAAGTTCATGTAGGTTCCAACTTAGTTCAAGTTCTGATATATCTCTATAACTTTAACTTACTCTCTCCTACCCAAAATATCTTTTGCAGAATGGAGAGAGATACAGAGCAGATGTGGTAGATCTATTCCCAGGGACCTTTGAGGTCGTGGAGATGGTTGCTAGCAATCCTGGCACTTGGCTGATGCACTGCCACGTAGCTGACCATGTGCATGCTGGCATGGAGACCATTTTTACTGTTTTGCCTCAAATAGGTAAGTTGTAACTACCCAAGAAAAGTTGTATTCTAATACTTTATCTAACTAATAGGAATCCTATCATCTGAAGAAGCCTCTTGTAACTGCATTTATGATCCCAGAATAAAACAGATATTTCTATTTCACAGTTTCATTACGGCATTGTTTTTTATGAAGTTATTCATAGTTGAAGTCCAGGTGTACAATATTTCAGCAATGTCACCACCTGCCTCAGTTTTCCAACACCAGTGTCCTCATATTCCCTCTTTGTCTTTTTACATCTGGTTATCATAATTTGATTTTCCTAACTTTAGCATTGTTAACTCTGTAGCATAGATATAGATATAGATGATATAGATGATATAGATATAGATATAGATATAGATATAGATATAGATATAGATATAGATATAGATATAGATATAGATATAGATACCAAACCTCTATCCTGCTGATGCACCTGACGTCAATGGCCCCTATCTCTGTAACTTTCAGTCTGCCTTTTCGAATTCACTGCAAGGTTGAATTTCTTCCTTCCCTTTTCTTCTTTTTCTAGTACTCTAGGATCAAGCGTGATCTAGATCCCTTGAATTTTTCATATTGTTATTCTGTATACAAGAGATAAAGTGAAATTATTGTTTTTGCACTTTCTCTGACTCACCTCATTTAAAATGACAAGCTCCAATTCTAACCAAGTTGTTGCAAATTGTATGATTTTTCATTTCTTGAAGCTACATAGTATTTTATTGTGCATGCATTATTTCTTTATCTAATAATTCATCATTGGTCACCTATGTCGATTCAACATCCTAGCTATTTTTCTAAGCCTGAAATGAATAACTATGTCTGAATGTCTTTTTGAATTATTTCTGTGGTTTTCTGGAGGAAGATAACACAGAACTGAAACTGTTCAGGAATTTTTATTTACTTATTTATTTATTGACATATAATCATACTATTTTCCATTGGAGTGGAACTAGGAAACATTCCACCCAGAAATGGTTGAGAATTCATTTATCATCACATTCCCAGAAACACATATTGTTTTTAGTTAATTTTAACTGTATCATTCTCACCAGTGTGAGATGACAACTTAATGTCACCTTGATTTATTTCTCTGATAATAAGTGATGACAAGTGCTTCTTTACGTGCTTTTTATCATCCATCTTTCTTCTCAGAGAATTGTCTACTATTTTCTTTTTTTTTCTTTTTTCTTTTTTTAAAATTTTTATTAGTGAAACACCATGAGGTACAGTTGTAGACTTACAAACTTTTGTGCTTGGGGTTCAGTTATACAATGATCAAGTACCCATCCCTCCACCAGTGCCCATTTTCCAACATCACGAGTCCCAGTATCCGTCCCACACCCCATACCCCCCATTCCACTCTGCCTCTGTGGCAGGGCATTCCTTTTTGTTCTCTCTCTCCTTTTGGGTGTTGTGGTTTGCAAAAGAGGCAATGAGTGGCAATCATGTTTGGTCTATAGTCTACTTTCAGCATGCTTCTCCCATCCTGGGAGGATCCTCCCAACACCCTTTATTTGGTGCTCCCTTCTCTATCTGAGCTCCCTTTTCCCCTAGCATGTGTGGCTGGTCTCCAAATCAATGAGAAAAATTACTGGTACTAATCTCGGCCACTCTTGGGTGTCAGTCTCCTATTTTGTTACTTTATGTTCCCCAAATGAATGCAATCTTTCTATGTCTATCCCTCTCTTTCTGACTCATTTCGCTTAACATGATACTTTCCATGTAAGTCTACTAATTTTCTTCTACCATTTTGTAGAATTACTTTTCTGAAGTTGCTGCTGCCATTTATCTTTGTGAATAATTTATATAACATGGATATTAATGCTTTATATAGCATACATATTAATGATACTCTCCATATCTATTCACTAATGAGCAAATTTCATGACTTCATCTTTCCTACACAGCTGCATAGTATTCCATTGTATAGTGTACCAAGTTTCTCTAACAAGTTGTCTGTTCTTCTGCACTCGGTTCGTTTCCAGTTTCTGGCAATTGTGAATAGTGCTGCAAAAAATATAAACAAGTGAAGATGCCATTTCTACTGAGTTTTTTGCACATCTGGGATATATTTGCAGAAGTGGTATTGCTGATTCATATGGGAGCTCAATTTCTAGTTTTTGGAGAAATGTCAATATTGTTTTCCAAAAAGTCTGGACCAGTTGGCATTTCCACAAACAATGAAAAAAAGTTCTATTCTTCTCACATAAGCACTAGCACTGGATGTTCTTGTTCTTTTTCATGTGTGCTATAAGACGATGTGCACCACAGTCCTCTGTGGTACAAGACGATATCTCATTGTTGTTTTTATTTACATCTCCCTGATGATTAGTGATGTAGAGAATTTTTTCACGTGCCCTTTGACCATTTGTATTTCTTTTTGAAGGAAGCTTCTGTACATCTCTTCATTGGTGTGATGGAGTTGGAGGTTTTTTCTTGTACAATTCTATTATTATCTTGTATATCCTGGATATTAATCCCTTATCTGATGTGTATTGGGTAAATATTTTTTCCCATTCTGTGAACTTTCTCTGTATTTTGGTCAATTTATCATTTGAGGTGCAGAAGCTACGTAGTTTGATGTAGTCCCATTTGTTTATATTGTTTCCCCTTGCTTGGTCAGTGGAGCTTCATCATTAAAGATGTCTTTAGTTTCAATATAATGGAGATTTCTGCTTACATTTTCCCCCTTGCACCTTACGGGTTCAAGTCTGATATTGTGGTCTTTAACAGACATTGATTTGTCTTTTTTGCCTGGTATTAGATAGAGATCAGGGTTCATTTTTTGAAGTTAGCTGCCATTTTTCACTGCAACTCGTGTTGAAGAGATTTTCCTTGCTCCACTTCACATTTCTTGCTCCTTTATCAAAGTGGTCATATGTTTGAGAATCTGTGACAGAATATTCAACTCTGTTCCATTGGTCTGCAAGTCTATTTCTAGTTTAATACCATATTGTTTTAATTACTACTTTTTTGTAGTACAGTTTGAAGTTGGGGAAGGTGATGCCACCCATCATTTTTACCCACTGATTACTCTTGCTATTCATGCGGATTTATTGTTCCATATGAATTTCAGGAGTGTTTTGTCTATGCCATTGAATAATGACATGTGTATACTTATAGGGACCACATTAAATCTGTATAATGCTTTGGGGAGTATTGCCATTTTGATAATGTTAATCCTCCTGATCCATGATAAGAGGATGTGGCTTTATTTCCTAGTGTCCTCTTTATTTTTCTTGAAGCACTGTTTTGTAATGTTCTTTGTATAGTTCTTTCACCTCTTAACCTAAACTACTTCTGAGACAGTTGATTTTCTGAGGCAGTAATATGAACAGGATTTTTTTAAATTATCTCTGTCTTCTATTTCATTATTTGTATATAGGAAAGTCATGGACTTTTGGATGTTGATTTTGTAGCCTGCCACTTTACTATACAAACCTATTGTTTCTATGAGCTTTTTGTAGATTCTTTAGGATTTTCTATGTCTAGTATCATATCGTCTACAAATTTGATAGCTTAACCTCTTTCTTTTCTATCTTTATGCCCTTTATATCTTTTTCTTTACTAATTGCTAAGGCTAGAACTTCCAATACGATATTTGATAGGAGAAAAAGAGTAGGCAACCTTGTCCTGTGCATGATCTTAGAGGGAAGACTTTTAGTTCACAACATTAAGAATGGTATTTACAATAGGCTTGTGGTAGACAGCTTTAACTATACTGAGGAAAGTTCCTTCTATTCCCATTTTTTGGGAGATTTTATCATAAACCGGTGCTGGATTTTGTCAAATGCTTTCTCTTTGTCTATTGACATGACCATATGATTTTTATATTTTATTTTATTGATATGATACATTATGTAGATAGATTTGTGAATGTTAAGCCATCTGTAACCATCCTTGCATCCCCAGGATGAATTCTATTTGGTCATGGTTGTTAAAACTCCATACGTGGAGATGTAAAAACTTCTTTTGCCTGGTCTGTGTAAACCCTTTTTATTTAAGGGGTCTTAAGCACCTTTTGCCCAGGTGACGCTAGGAGTGCTCAAAGATTAGCAGATGTTCGCGGGTTCTCGGTGCGGCCCTCTCTCACCACCAGCATTTGGTCCACTATAGCCACTTCCCCACCGAGGACAGTCATTGCCTTGGGCACACAAAGGAGGAACAAAGGCCAAGCTGGTTAATGAACAGCTGCTGTTTATTCCAGCTCTCGTAGCTATCCCAAATTCTCTCCACAACTTTCACAACTCTCTCCAACGCTCTTCCAGCAATCTCCAACCCTCTCTCTAACTCGCTTCACAATTCCTTCTTCTTCAATACCTGCAGCCACTCTCTATGTCGCACTCTCCCCAATCCTGCTGCAACTCTCTCTTTTCGATCTCAGACGTACCTCTGTCTCTTCTCTCACCACATTTCCCCAACCACACATCCCCACGGGAAGTGCAATCAACATATTTTTCAAGTTTTCCCAACCACCTGCAGCCCAAGTGGGCAAAACAGCGCTTAAGCTGTGTTTCTCCTCTCCTTATGCCTGTAATTAATTAACATCTTAATTCTACTTCCTAATATTTACAATTCTGTATCGACACAGAAATAGACACTTTTAGACCTGTAGATCAACTCTCCTGGGTAGATCTCACCACAGACTCAGACTACAGTGCTCAGGCAGGATTATTCATTCCTAACCGCAGCAGGGTCCAAATCTAGTTATTACTTTTTGGTTCATGGCATAATTTGCCCGTTACAGTTAACTTACAGTTAAGCATTATAGCACATTGGCCAGGGCCTTTTCGATGCCAGGGTAACACATAACTCACAGCTTGTCCTGAGTCTGTCCAGTCCCTCACCAAGACCCTGATCTTGGGGGATCTATGAAGTAAGGCAAATGAGGCTTACGTCAAAAGAGCAGATGTCCAGGAGGTAATATTATCTGGAATCAATTAACTCCTAAGTTTCAAACATATTTTAACTGTCTTCCTGTGTCCATACAA